AGGGAGCGACCCGGATCAGCTGATATGCCGATTAGCCGGGAAGACGCTCCCCGCTGAGCTTCTGATGGAGAGAGACAGAGGGGCAGGCAAACGAGGAGGAGATGTCACTCCAGCCCCTCGAGCAGCACAGCACCAGCCAACAGCTCTCTGCTGCTGGAGGCCAAGCTCGCATCATTGTCACACACACACACCCACACACACCTGTGTGTACACGCATACACTCACCATGCCTATTAGGCCAGGGCGAAAAGCACAGGCTGCAATTTAGAATGATTTTGACGGCGATGCTCTTGGCAGCGGTTTCTCCAAATGAGGGCTATCAAGATTCCCATGTGCCACAATCCCACAATCACTGTCAGACGTAACCCGTCAGCAGATGTTAAACTGGTGTGTGTGTGTGGGGGAGAGAGAGGGGGAGAGAGACAGGGAGGCCTGATGTAATGCATGTAAACCGCACTAACTGATCTGTGTGTGTGTGCGCTACGTTACCGTTCCACCGTGAGCGCGGATTGTGCTGCATTGTCTTAATTATTGACAGTGGAAATGGAATCTAATGAAATTTCCAGCATCGTGAAACTAGAACTCCTCTCACTGCACCGCCTATGAACTTTCCTCACAGTGTGCAAAACTGTTCAGATGAAATAATGTATTTTGGTCCTCTCCTCCGTCCACAACTGTAAGCTGCGTTGGATTTATCGCATATTACGGGTTTACGTGAGGTCACCATGCACTGAGGATAAAGTTGTAACTTTTCCTGCAACAAAACTCAGAGAGCCCTAAAGTGTTGTAGATGCACGCTATGGTGTAACATAACATTCACAATCTGAGATTCAACTGGCGCGCTTTAAACTACGTCATCTTGTGGTGCTCTCTCCCTCTGCGATGGTTTCCAACTGTAAAATTGGAAACCACCTCCTGCCTATCTCAATGAACCAACTCCTAATGTGTGTGTGTGTGGTGGGGCGTAATGAAGGCACAACACAGTGGGAACAGTTGGTCAGTGCTGTATCGGTCCAATACAAGAGTGTCCTCGTGTGAACCCCAAAGTCCAACAGCGGCGCTGCTTTCAGTCCAAACCTCAAGGTAAAAAAAGCCACGAATAAATCTTCCCCACAGTACCAGAGCAGTGTCTCGGTCAAAAGAGTCTGTGAACAATGCAGCTCTGGTCTGAGAACCTTTCAAAGAGCCCCTCAGCGTGCTGTGATTTGGCTTGATGCCACTCGATGCCACGCTGTGCCGTCATCCTGCCGAGCCATCTGTGTGGAGACGGATTACCAGGTAGCCTTATTAATCCAGGTGGGCCGCGCCGCGTCAGGGAGGAAATGAAGTGGAGTGGAAAATGTTCAAAGCAATAAGCGTCTCGTTTCCTCTCGGGCTTAAGGCGCGGGGCTCGACGGGTCCGGTGCGACAATGGAGCAGGCTTCGTCAGGCCGCTGCCGGCTCTGGGTTTTTGTGATGTTTCTGTGGATGATTGGCAGCTCCGTGTTTATCAGCTCACTTTCACCTTGATGAGAGATTATTCTCCTCTCTCACAAAAGTCATCACTCCCATCCGCCGTCCTCGCAAAAGAACAGATTCTGTTTTCAGTCCACCCGTCCGTGACAGCGGATTTGCGTTTTTTGCGAAGAACGCTGAGTCATGCTGTGTTTTAATACACAAAGAAGGTCATTGTTTTTTGTTTTTTTTTGCTAAATACATTTCTTAAGAAGATGCCACCTGATGTTCCACATTGGGATGCTGCTCTTTGTTTTGTTCCGCAGCTCCCTATAAATATTCAGGTCAGAGACGCTCCGACTAAAGCCCTTTTAGTTCCCCTCAAAGGTGCGTTCTCTCATTACACTGCACCGTGTAAAGCAGCTCCATCGCCTGCTTATTAGATGTAGTTGGACAGAGAACATTCTGCTAATTAATGCTGTGTGTGAGCGAGCGTGTGTGTGTGTGTGTGTGTGTGTGTGTGTGTGTGTGTGTGTGTGTGCGTGCGTGCTGAACTGAGATTTGTGAGCCTCATTAGAGTCTGTGCGCGTTTCTTTTCGGCAGTGTGCAACTGACAAATGTAAATGTTATTTCTGTTTGCTTGAGTGTCTGTGTGTGTGCACGTTAGTGTGTTTGTCTCTGACCCTCCGCCGAGGCGGGACAGGCAGACGAGCAGGAATTTGCATCTGATCTGTTTGATCTGTCCACTTAAAACGCATCAGGCGGCCTTCCTGCGGAGAAGCTGGGCAGCCATCTCCTTTCTCTGGGAGGGAGACGTGCACAGCAGGGAAGCGGAGAGAAGGCAGTAGAAAATCCAATCGGCTGGATTTACAGTACACGCTGCTCAAAATGAGGTTATGTTAGGCAGCACGTTTAAGGTGATCATTCTGTTAACGCCAAGTTAATTCAGGAAATAAATTTTAAATGATATTGAGCGGCACACTGTGCTCTCATATAGCAGGTGGTGCGGTAGACGGAGCCGACACACAAAGCAAGCAAAGGAATAAAACATTAAACTGTTGTTTTGTCTTTATAGGACTCTTTATTATCCAACATCCACGATTCAGACCCCAACCGAACCTGGGAATGAAATGAACATAAAATACCACCCGCAAGACTCGGCTGCACACACACACACACACACACACACACGGAGCCTCCTCTCATTCTTATATTGCCTAAACTGGTCCAACCATTATGCTTTCTAGAACATAATACTTGGCTCCTATGAATTATAAATGCCTGTGGTTTCCAAGGCTTATTTTTGGAGCTTGCACACAGATTGCTTTACAAAGCCGGGGTTAGCCCCCCCCCCCCCGAAGCGTGCCCACAGGTTGACATGACCCTCTGCAGAGTGTGTGAACTCGTGTGCTGCGCTGAACGTCTTTATTTCTTGTATCGAGCATTTCAAGTTCTCTCACTTGGAACGTGAGTAAAGTTTGCTGAACAGCTCCCGCTGTTCTCCGAGTTCTCCGTTAACTGACGCACACTGAAGCCCTCGCTTCACATCGAGAAACATCTTGAAGTTCCTCGGTGCCGGAGACGAATGAAACTCGGCACCGGGAGTTTGCTCTTCTCTGGAGCGCTCTGTTGTTTCCATGGAAACGCACTCCATCATTTTTTTTTTTTTTGTTTTGTTTTTTATTTTGATTTGCAAACAAAGCAACAGGATTTCAACAGGACGCTCCTCGTTAGCGCTGATGCTCGGTGTGGAGATAAAACCGACATGTTTCTACTTTCTTGTCAACAAACTGGCTGCTGACATAAAAGTGCTGAACTATTTTTATTTAATAAATACAAGAATTCTAAATCGGTAGGTAGGACAAATGTATGTATTCCCTTTAGCGCCAGGAGAGAGGGACCCCTCCACTTCGAGTGGGGACTCCCCCCCCCCCATCTCCCCCTGACTGATATTAATGGCTCCATCCACTCCTGCTGACACTGATGTACTGCTAGGGCCCGGTTACTGCTCAGCCCAGCAGAACCGGGGCTCACCAGAGCATAAATCAAACCCGGGTCTGGTGAAACGGTTGCTTTATATTATTGCTGCACAATAGGATTTGAGGTAACACTCTTACTGGGTCTGTGATGCACCGTATCGTACCGGCTCATGCTGAGTATCGATCCACCATTGTTCCATTAACAAGCTGTTTGGAGACTGGGATCATTTTTTATGACTAACTACACAGTGCTACGTCTGTATATAATGCGTCATAAGTCATGGGTGTCGTAGAGTGTTACCAGATTTTGGAGGCCGTCGATACAATACGAGAAAATGGCCGAACACCGAAATCCTGCAATTATTTCTGTCTGAGTGGAGTCAGAACTGCAGCGTGTCCGTGTCTCTGTGTTCCCCCAGAAAAGCAGCGCTGCAGGCCGGGAGCCCGCTGGGCGAGCTATAAATAGCCTCCTGGTGACAGCAGGACTAAGAGCCTAATGTGAGGGAGAGATTTCCACGGTCATTATTTATAACTTAATTACTAAATTCTGAATTTACTTAATACATTTCATTTTTCTACACCAGTACTCCTGCTCGCAGCTTCTGTTCATCCCATCCAGCCAGAGATACCTCTGTTGAAACTTGTTATTAATAGCAAGCAAGAAACGGCTCAACAACTATCTCTTTTTCTTACTTTCTGAGCGATCCTACGATGAAGCGGAGAAAAGAGCGTCTCTGTTTCATCTGTCCTGTCTGCTGTTTTGATAAACTTTGAACATTTAGATATGAGGCATTAGCAGATTCACCTCCCGTTGTGACGCCTTCGGCATCTGTAGTAATTGGGGTTTAAGAACTGAAAGCAACTCATTTTCTTTCCCTTCAGATTGTGAACACTTCACCAAACACCTGCTAAAATATGGCGAGAGACTCCTTTACCATTGCCCGTATGGGTATAGTATAATATGTACAGTATCTGGGATGTTACATTCTTTTCATTGATGGGAACTGGAGCCGATAAACACCTGTGACCACTGCAAAGTCACGATATGAATGACATTCGTGTGTGTTGGAGGGCTTTGTGTCCGGTGGGAAAGGAGCTTCAGAGGGGGAGAGACATTCCTGCTTGCTGTATTTTGGGAAATGCATGCCGGGCATACGTTGCATGTGTGCATTGCTGTTCGTGCGATGACTTTGGATGTCGTCCAGTAATACAGTATGGAAGTAAGTGGATGAGGCGTTGGTGTTAGCAGGATGTTTTCTCTGGGGTGTGTCTGGAGGTATGAACTCATCCAGCTCTAGAGGCTTTCCTCTCAGTGGACCTCTTGACCTTTTCGCCTTCATTCCTGCACCAGGCCTTTCCGCACACACAGCTTTATTTTGAATAAGACGTTTGAATGTCGGTGTTAATGGGAAGCTCTCGGGTCAAACCGCACTGTATCTGAAAAGCTGTCACTTTGAGTCTTTGATCAGGTTTTTACCATTTTTGTTTCGGACAAAAAATAATTAAGTTAAGCATTTTAAATTCAGTCCATCAAACACAAAGCATAAATGTTGTTACCCATCGCTAACATTCGTTTTCTGTTCACAGATTCAACCTTCCTGTGCACCACCCATATCATCCCCGTGAAGAACGAGGAGGGCGTGGTCATGATGTTCATCCTCAACTTCGACCACGTCCTGGAGGAAGGCAGCAGCGACTCGCTGGATAGACTCAACCACACCTCGCCATCCAAAGCTGACCAACGTGAGTAAAGACGAGAAAGAGCTGGAGAGACAGCGTGACGTATGGCAGTTATCGGGAGTGTGCGTGTGGGCTGGGGCGCCAGATTTGTGTCTGTGTGACTCTCACAGAGGGGGCGCTCTCTGACACCAGCGTTTAGCAGACACCGATGTCTTAGTCTGCCGTCGTCTTAAAGGTCTGGCCCAATTACGGCTCTTAGCCTGCCACGATGGCCCGATGAACCTCTGGAGCGGCGCCGGATAGCGCTTCTCCCAGAGCTGTCGGTGTAATGGCGTTGAATGCCATTCCCCCCCCGCCCTCTCCTCCGCGTCTCTCTCTATCTCCACTCTCTAGCCGTGACATAAAAAGCAGCAGCATGGAGGACCAGAGGTCGCCTCTAGATGACTGTAATTGGGTGAGGCCTCTAACAGGCTGCGTTGCCTCGCGGGGGGAGGGGGGTGAGTTGTGAAGCGTGTGAGTATATAAGCAAGTGTTGCCAACGTGCGTTTGTGTGCACACTCTCAAAACCATGCGTGAACGTGTAACCTTTGCTTAGTGAGTGTGAGTGTCACTGATAAGGCCTTCCTCTCACTCTGTTATGGGAGCTAATTGCTCACTCTGCGGGCTATCCCTGCTGGAAACAGGCCTCTATGAATTCAAGACTGTTTGTCTGGATATCTCAGTGGGCATCTCTGCCAATCTGGCGGTGAGTCTAGATATGTTTACAGGGTTGAGCCTCGGTGCCGGACACCGTCCCTCTCTGCCGTGGCATGCTTCACCGGAGAGAGTTGGTATTTCTCAGCCTCATTCCATCACAGCCCTCCCTCCGTTAACTCCAGGGACCTAGTATTGCATTTGCAGACGGACAGAGATCGCAGACTATGTAAACCTGCATAATCTAAGAGAACACCGCAGATGAACGAACATCTACAGATGTAAATGGAACCGAACGGAAGCGGCGGTGCTGCTATTCCCCTGCTCCTCAGTACGTGTAGGAGCAGCTGCCTGCAGGAGCTGTGAGGAGGTGACGATCCATGTGTTGCATTATCTAGACGCCCTCTGGGGAGTGAGGGTGCTGATTATCGATTGCCTCCGCCGCTCGCCAACAACCCATCCATTCTGCCGCCATTCTCCCATTGTTGCTCCGATGTGGCTTCCACCGATCCCTCATTCCTCACACCAAAGATGAGTGTCATTTAGGTCACCGTTCTAAAGGGGAAAGCGGTGTGAAAATGTTTTTTGGATTTCAGAATTTCTGAGGTGTACAAGGCTGTGCATTGTTCTTCATTTAAGTTAGTGTTGGGTAAAAATGTAGGACACTTTGTAGACATCCAACAATGAAGTGGGCATCAGTAAGTTTATGATACGGGACATTTATGTGAATCCAAAAGCTTAACAGATCTAGAGACACCAGACGGAGACGGACACCTGGCAAAGTACTCAACACCTCCTCTGCGGTTGTACAGGATTCTGCCATGATGTCTCACACGTACTCACAAGTTAGAAACTATACCAGCCACACGCTGTCACAGCTGGTGATGAATACAGCTAATCTGCCACCTCATCATAGCAGCCATTTCTAACCATTAATTCCCTACTCTCTTTTAGAGAGGGAACTTAACGACCCCTGAGCTGGAGAGTCGCATAACCTGAACTTAAGGTGTAGGTCTTAGCATAAGTCTGTTTTTGTCTACTCGTGTGAGCATAGCCTAAGATGCATACTGTCTTATACAGAAACTCATTAAATGAGTGGGGTAAAGTAGGGACACAGCAGAATTACTCATGTAACTCCACAGCTGGTGAGTAATAGGAGGACTGGGAGCCCAGGTGAAAACTACGGCATGCAAATCTGTGAGTAAGCTCGTTAACTACACCGCAGATTTTAATTCAGAATCCCAAGAACAAGAAACGGAAACAAAAGGCTACAAAGCCGCCTTTGTCCCGCTTTCACCAAAGGAGGCCGCTTTATTGTCCTCTTTCCACTTCTCCCTGACATCTGAATCACGCTCGCATTACAGAAAGACATTTCACTCCCCAACACGGGGATCCGAGGGCCCAATTAATATTCAATGCAAATATTACTGCCTGGTATCGTAGCAACAAGGGCCAGTGTGCGTCTGTCAGTTGTGTAAAAGCTGCCGGTGAGTTTGTTTTGCAGGGAAAGAATGAGAGTGGTGAGAGTGATTGCACACGTGTACTGTACACACACACGCAATCGGAGCCCTTTCAGTACGACAATTAAATAGAGCTCCATACAACGTTTTCAGCACACACCGTGACTGAGTTGTGAGCTAATTAAAGGATTTGCGGCGTATATGTTTATCCTCTAGGCGTAGTAATTAGAAACATGGCTTCGAGCCGTTCGTTGTTTTGTCAAGGTGTCATTTTTAAAAGTCGAGGCCAGCATTTAAATCAAACTGTCGGAAACGTCGGATGCTGCAGCTGCGCTATTCATTTGGAAAAATGTCAATGTTGCTGTACTGTGCCGGCTCTTTGGAATATAAATTGACTCGGACTGATGAATCGGATGACACAGAACTAAATGCAAAATGTAATTTCCGGCGCCATCAGTTTTTGCCTCAAGACTTAATTTAAACACGGCTACACTGAGCATTGTACTGCGTGTCTCTGTCTCACCCCGATACAAGGAGCAGTGAGGAAGACAGAGATGCACGCTGCTCCATTCTGAGCCTCGATCCATTTTACCACCCGTTGTGTCCCTGGATACAACCGTAGCTGGTCCACTCTGCAGATCGTGCATGTCAAATACGATGTGCAGTAGTTTGCTCAAGCAAAGCCTACAAAGGGGACGTGAAGAAGTGACTTGTTCAGGTGTGCTGGTCCATGCTTTCATGAAGGGACTTGGTTTGCATGGTGGCAGTAACGCAGCACTCTGATATGTATGGCATATGTTCTAGCAACTAAATGATTCACAACATGCAGGCCACGCTTTGCCGTCCATATGTGAAGTCCTGCAAGTGTCTCTCTCAAGACAGGTTTGCCGATATTGTACTACAGTCTCTGTTTCCTGCATAACATTCCCTACTGCCACGGCAGCAGAGCCCGAAACATGGCGTTGTGTTAGCTTCACCTTCATCTCCCCGGGAGCTATCAATCGCTCGTTAGAATCCTGCACTTAATCCTTTACAGGACCGACTCCTCAACGCACTACTGCCATTCTAACATTCCACCAAATGTCCTCCCTCATGAATAATTGAAGGGAAATTGAAGATTGATGAAGTGCCTGAGGAAGAGCGGGCATTTGTTTTGATCTGCCAGACTCTTTTTAAGATAGCTGCGTTGGCAGGCTCCTCCGTGCTGTTGGCAAACAACTACGAGATATAAGCGGGGGGGGGGGGTACAGTATGTCGATCCCACTGGCTCATTAAAAACGACCATAAACATTATGCTGTCAAATAAGTTGCTTAGCCTTAGATTTATGTTTATATGCGATACCATATTGCCCCTAACCTGTTTTTATGGAATCATTTGACGGTAATCTCATTGCTCTGTTCTCTGTCAGGCAAAGGGAGATTCTTTCGCTTCCGTTTCCCGGCCATACCTCTCCTGGGCATCAGCAAGCAGTCGCTGCCCCAGGAAGACCCCGACGCCGTCACGGTGGACTCCCCGCGCCACAGCGACGGCTCGGTGGCGACGCGCGACTACCAGCTCCCCGCCACCCGCGAGAGCTGCAGCCCCTCCTACGCCAACGACACCCGCGCCCTCATCGGCCCCAGCCACTGCTCCACCCCCGTTTCCGGGCCCTTGGACCACTCGTCGCCCAAGGACCCCTGGGATCGGACGTACCCGGACCAGACCATCACCCAGACCCACCACCGGAGCAAGGAGGACACGCTCACTGCAGCGCCGTCAATCCCAGGCCTTACTCCAACCGCCTCCAGGGAGAGTGTGTGCAGTATTCGCAGAGCCTCCTCCGTACATGACGTGGACGGCTTCGGGACCAACTCCAAGATGCCGTTCAGGGACAGACACGCCAGTGAAGGTAGGAATCTGCTGCTCTGCTGTTCCCTTAATGCATGCTGCTTTTTAAAATCTCACCATTTATTTGACCTACTGTAAGTCTCACTCTAGTATATAACTAGTTAATGATGTGCTAACATGCTCTGCTACGTGTTTTCTCCTTCCAACCTCTCCGGGTAACGAGCATGACCACAATACCAGAGTAATAGTTTAACCAGAGCCAGAGGGTTGTTGGACCCTGGACAGAGCTGATTGATGCTACGCTATGATTGGCCAGTCTGCATTTGAGGGCGGAACATAGCCACGGGTCAATAGTGATGTGGAAACTTAAATCTTCCCGTGCTCACAGACAGAGCGCATCTTTAACAAAATGAATAAAGGACATTTTTCCCCCCTTGACAGTGCGTGGTTGGTGCCCGCTGCTCTATCAAAACCACTACCAATTCCCAAATGTTGCATTTCATAATAAGGGACTTATGAAGGGATTTATTACTTGTGACTAACATTGACTATAAATTTGGCTTTATTAATTGCCGAACTCACTGCGGTCCCAAAATAGGAGATTGGAGATGTGGCGTCTCTTAATCATTATTATAGTGAGTCACCATCTACACTGTGTGCTATTGATCTTCCCTTGAGGCTCATTAGCCTCTTGGCCTTCATGTGGATGAGTCCCCTATGATAGTTAGCCCACGGACTACAGCCACCTCGCCCGGACCAGGGAAACCGGGGCACCCTCCCGGAGCCAGACCCAGGAGGGGAGCTCGTAGGCGAGCGTCTGGTGGCCGGGCCTTTGCCCATGGTGCCCGGTCGGGCTCAGCCCGAATAAACACCATGGAGCAGCCACCCTGTGGACCCACCACCCGCAGGGACAAGCATCGGTGTCGGGTGCTATGCAGACCGGGCGGCGGGTCGGGCGGGAGGCCCGGGCATGCCGATCGCCGGCGGCATAGACTAGCTCTAGGGACGTGGAACGTCACCTCGCTAGCGGGGAAAGAGCCGGAGCTGGTGCAGGAGGTGGAGCGATACCAGCTAGAAATAGTTGGACTCACCTCCACACACAGCGTTGGCTCTGGAACCAAGCTCCTGGAGAGGGGTTGGACTTTGTCCTTTTCCGGAGTTGCCCAGGGTGAGAGGCGCCGGGCGGGAGTGGGGATACTCACGAGCCCCCGGCTGAGCGCCGCTGTGTTGGAGTTCTCCCCGGAGAGCGAGAGGGTCGCCTCCATGCGCCTACGGGTTGCGGGGAGCAAGGCTCTGACTGTGGTTTGTGCTTATGCACCAAACAGCAGTTCAGAGTATCCGGCCTTCTTGGAGTCGGTGGGAGGGGTCCTGGAAAGGGCGCCGCCTACCGAATCCATAGTTGTCCTGGGGGACTTCAACGCTCACGTGGGCGATGACGGAGAAACCTGGCGGGGGGTGATTGGGAGGAACGGCTTGCCCGATCTGAACCCGAATGGTGTTTCGTTATTGGACTTCTGTGCTTGCCATGGTTTGGCCATAACGAACACTATGTTCGAACATAAGGTGGCTCATAAGTGTACCTGGTACCAGAACACCTTAGGCCGGAGATCAATGATCGACTTTGTAATCGTATCATTTGATCTGCGGCCGTATGTCTTGGACACTCGGGTGAAGAGAGGAGCAGAGCTGTCAACTGATCACCACCTGGTGGTGAGTTGGATCAGATGGCAGGGGAACCGGTCCGAAAGACCCGGCAAACCCAAACGTGTAGTGAGGGTGAACTGGGAACGTCTGGCGGAGGACCCTGTCCGGGAGGTCTTTAACTCCCACCTCCGGAAGAACTTCTCACACATCCCGAGGGAGGTTGGGGACACGGAATCCGAGTGGACCATGTTCAAAGCCTCTATTGTGGACGCGGCCGCTAGGAGCTGTGGCCGGAAGGTCATCGGTGCCTGTCGTGGCGGCAACCCGAGAACCCGGTGGTGGACACCGGAGGTGAGGGAAGCCGTCAAGCTGAAGAAGGAGACCTTCAAGGCCTGGTTGGCCCAGGGGTCTCCTGAAGCAGCTGACGGGTACCGGCAGGCCAGAAGGGCTGCAGCTGCGGTGGTCGCGAATGCTAAAACTCGGGCATGGGAGGAGTTCGGGGAGGCCATGGAGAAGGACTTTCGGTTGGCCTCAAGGAGGTTCTGGCAAACCATCCGACGGCTCAGGAAGGGAAAGCAGGGCTTACCCCAGGCTGTTCTCAGC